TATGTGAACACCTTTGTTCCTTATGCAAAATATCAATAAACATATGAATAAAAAAAAAAAAAAAAAATCATGATGGGCAATGTGAGATCGCTGGGAAACAAGTTGGATGAACTTCAAGCTCTAACAAGGTCTCATCCAGAGTATCGGGAATGCAGTATTATGTGTTTCACTGAGACATGGCTGCAGGATCATATCCCCGACTCCAGCGTTTCGTTGCCAGGCTTTCTGACCATACGAGCAGATAGAGATTTAAAGAGGAGTGGCAAAAGGAAAGGAGGTGGGTTGGCAGTGCTTGTGAACAACAGATGGTGTAATCCTGGACATGTTACTATGAAGTGTCGTCTCTGCAGTCCAGATAGAGTTCACCAGTGTTATTTTGGCAACTGTTTACATTCAACCCAATGCTGTTGCTGAGACTGCGTGTGATGTCATCAGCTCCGAGGTTGCTAAACTACAAACACAACACCCTAGTGCGTTTGTTGCAATATCTGGGGATTTTAATCATGCCTCTCTCTCTGCTACACTTCCGACATTCGAACAGTTTGTCAGCTGCTCTACCAGAGAAAACAAAACGCTGGACTTGTTTTATGCAAATGTCAAGGATTCATACATCGCTAAAGCAAGACCCCCTCTTGGCAAATCAGATCACAATCTTGTGTATCTCTGCTCAAAATATAAACCCCTTGTTCAGAGGCAACCTGCAATAAAGAGAACAGTGAGAAAATGGTCAATGGAAGCTGAAGAAGCCCTGCGGGGTTGTTTTGACGCTACAGACTGGGATGCACTGTGCCAGCCACATGGAGAGGACATCAATGCCATGACTGAGTGTGTGACCGACTATATAAACTTCTGTGTAAACAACACCATCCCCACCAGAACAGTGAGATGCTTCCCCAATAACAAACCCTGGATCATTACTGACTTGAAGGAACTGCTAAACCAGAAAAAAAGAGCCTTCAGGGAGGGAGACAGGGAATTATTGAAGAGCACACAGAAGCAACTAAAAGTCAAGACAAGAAAAAGCAAGGAGGTGTACAAGAAGAAGCTGGAGAGCAAACTCCAACAGAACAATATCAGAGAGGTGTGGTCAGGGATGAAACAGATCACAGGCTTCAAGCAGAAGGAGGATCAGAAGAATGGAAGCCTGGACAGAGCCAATGAACTGAACACATTCTTCAATAGGTTCAGTTCAGGAACAAGCTCAGCATCCTCCTCTCTTGCCCACAGCCAAACATACATACCACCCTCCATTGACCCAAGGCTGTCCTGTCACACCTCAAATATTGTATTTACCACCTCAGTCATGGACCCTTCTTCTACTTATTGGTCTTCAACTAAATCAGAAGATGCTGATACCTCCTTTGCCTCCCCCCTCTGCGTCTCCAGAAGTCAGGTGAGGAAGCAGCTGGAGAGACTGAACCGGAATAAGGCTGCAGGTCCAGATGGTGTCAGTCCCAGAATCCTGAAGGTCTGTGCAGAGCAGCTCTGTGGGGTTCTGCAGCACCTCTTCAACCTTAGCCTGACCCAGGAGAAGGTTCCAGTGTTGTGGAAAACATCCTGTCTTGTTCCAGTGCCAAAGAAAACACACCCATCAGTCCTCAAAGACTATAGACCTGTTGCCCTGACATCCCACATCATGAAGGTCCTAGAGAGACTTCTGCTGACCCACCTGACTAGACAAACAAGCACATATCAGGACCCACTGCAGTTTGCTTATCAGCGTGGACTTGGAGTTGAAGATGCCATCATACACCTGCTTCAGCAAACTCACTGTCATCTAGAAAAGTCAGACAGCACTGTGAGAGTCATGTTCTTTGATTTCTCCAGTGCATTTAACACAATCCAGCCTGATTTGCTTTGTCAGAAACTCCAGAAGACTCAGGTGGAGGCCTCAACAATCGCCTGGATCAAAGACTACCTGACAGACAGACCACAGTTTGTGAGACTGAAGGGTTGTGTGTCTAACCAGGTGGTCAGTAGCTCAGGAACACCACAGGGGACTGTACTCTCACCATTCCTTTTCACTCTGTACACCTCAGATTTCCAGTACAAAACAGACTCCTGTCATCTGCAGAAATAGTCTGATGACTCTACAGTAGTCGGGTGTATCAGAGATGGACAAGAAGCTGAGTACAGGGAACTGGTGGACCGCTTTGTGGCATGGTGTGGAAATAATCATCTCATCTTGAATGTGAACAAAACAAAGGAGATGATTGTAGATTTCAGGAGAATCAGGAACAGATCCAACCCTATTTTCATCATGGGAGAAGAAGTGGAGGTGGTGGAGAAGTATAAATACCTTGGAGTTCACCTGGACAATAGACTGGACTGGAAATGCAACAGTGAAGCCATCTACAAGAAGGGACAGAGCAGACTGTACTTCTTGAGGAAGTTGAAGTCCTTCAACATTTGCAGCAAGATGCTGCATATCTTCTATAAGTCTGTTGTAGAGAGTGCCATCTCTTCTGCCATCATCTGCTGGGGTAGCAGCACCAGAGCAAGTGACTTAAAAAAGATCAACAAGCTCATAAAGAAGGCTGGCTCAGTTCTGGGGACTCCTCTAAAACCTTTGGAGATGATTGTTCAAAGAAGGATTCTTCATAAAATGAAGAACATTATAGACAACCCTCAGCATCCTCTTCATCAGACTGTCATACAACAACAAAGTGTCTTCAGTCAGAGGCTTCTTCAAACCCGTTGTAGGACAGACCGCTACAAGAGATCCTTCCTGCCCACAGCCATCAGCATCTATAACAACTCTTTAATGAAACCAGGATGATGAGTTACAACAACATTTAATTTCCCTCTGGGATTAATAAAGTATTTTTGAATTGAATTGAATTGAATTTAATTGAATTGTTCTTCTTCTATGGTCACTAATCAGTTCATGACTTCTGTCATCAATCAGTTTTTTTGATTAATAATCAGTTCACTTATTATTAATCTGTTCATATTGGAAGAGTCGTGGATCTGCTCTGTTCACGGCCTTTTTCAGCTTCTCCTCTTTCCCGTTGAAAACCTTTCCAGGGCGTTCATGCACTCGGAACGCGTAAAGTACGCAGTGCGCGTCTGTGCATGGTGCGCGTAACTATGCAACGCGTATTTACGCACATGGAGAGCTGAGTGACGAAATGCTTTTTGGGCAAGGGAATGCTTTTTATGGTGTTAGAATGGACCCAGTGAGGCGGAGACTACATCATGCTTGGCCCTTAACCCACTAGTGACAGCCTTAAAGGGCGAAGCCTATACGAAATAGAATGTTGGTTACGTATTGTAACCCTAGATTCTATGAGTATAGGCATAGCCCTTTAAGCGTTGGGACTTACTGGCTCCTAAATGGCTGAAGAAAAAGCTATTTGGGAGCCAATTACCTGCTCTTAACGTAATTTATACAGACCGGGTGGGGCCCACACAACAGGTGGGTGTGGACTACATTTTTTCAGTGAGATGCTTGACGGGATAAACCCACTAGTGACAGCCTTAAAGGGCTACGCCTATACTCAGAATCTGGGGTTAAAGTATGTAACCAACGACCCGTGCTGTGAGTTCTCATAATCAGCTGATTTACAAGCTAAACCGCAAGGTGGAGGCGATTTATGAGAATCACAGGCCACCTGAGGCTTCTGGGACTCATCAGCGCGGTGGGTTCAACCTTGAGGGAGACTCATAGAATGGATCAGTGAAATGGATTCCCACAATTAGGCCATTTTGGAACCAGAATGTCCAAAATGGACTCAAGGCTGAAGAAAAAATCTGTCTGCCTGAAGAAAATCAACAATCAAAGCTTATCTGAATCTGACTCCCCGATGGTCTCGGAGACGGGCCAACTATCAAATTTCTCCTGGGTCATGGGTAATCAGGGACAAAAGCTTCATTTATTGGACCCCCCCCAATAACTTTCTGTGCAAGCGTATCAGAACTGTTGGCTGAAAACAACATCTTCAGAAACTGTGGCCGATCTGAAAAGCACTCATAGACCAATCTCAACACCTCAATGTGAAATGCCTATGCAATCATGTTTTAATTGTGCTGCTGGTAGAGTTTTTTTATGTCTCAAATCATATAATGATAGACAAGATGTGAAAGATCTTTTTTTGTAATACCACTATCTACCCTCATGTTTCTCCCCCTTTTCCTTTCTAAGATTATTATTCTGAAAAAGGATAAGAAAGTTAGGATTAGTTATAATAGCAGCTTTGTGCATTACGTCCATCTTCCGGAAGACTGCATGTACATGTTCTCGTTGTATCTCGGTGCAATGATAATAAAGCTTATTTTGATTCTAATTCTGATTATGGTGTTGAAATCACAACAGAGAACATCAGAGAACATTGTTCTCATCTGCTTACACAGATTCATGCTCATGTTCATGCTACTGTTCGACGTATTGTTTTTATGCTATTGCTTAATGTATTTTCAGTTGATGTTTTTCTTAGTTCATATCTTAAATGTTATCATTGTTTTTCTTTTACATTTTTATTGTTGGATGTAACTGGGACCCTGTGTACATAATTTCTTCCCACCACATGTACCACATGTGGTGTGAATGACAATAAAGAATCTCTGACTAACTTAAATGAGACCAATCAAACTCTTGTTGAGGAACCTGTGACCAAGAAAAGATGTTGGGTATCTGATTTGAGTTCATGTAGTTTCTGAAATTAACCCTTAGTTTGAAAAAGTTTTAATTTTGGCCCCCTTTTGTAAGTGAGTTTGACACCCCTGCAAAATATGTTTGGTGTTGGACTGAGTTGTGATCTGAAACATTTTTTATACAAACACAAAAATAAAATGTTGACTAACATTCATGTTGAAGATCAGTTACTTCAGATATTTTTTTTAATTCATGTTGGACAAAAGAGTTCTCCTCCAGAATCTTCCAAGATTAATGTGGTACATGTCAAGTACCTTCATCTGATGACCCAAAATTTCTACAGTTTGTTAACTTTTCTAAACATCTTGGTGAAGACCAGTTTGTAAAAATTAAAAAAAGTACTTACAAGAGGCTCCTTGTTTTTGACTAGCCTTATAATTTTCACAGAATCCTCATTTTCAAGGTCTTCAGGAAGTGGAGGTAGTTCAGGGTCATAACTCTTCTTAGCAACTGTGTCATGGACGGACAGGAGGCTCTACAGGTGGGAGAGAACACAACAATTGAACGGAGTGAAAGAAAAGTTAACAGTCAAACAGGAAGGGCATTAACTTCCTACATCAACTATTTTTTATTTTTATCTAACCTTTATTTACACAGGTAGTCTCAATGAGTAATGAAGACTCATTTTCAAGAGATATCTGTTTGACAGACAACATATAGAGTACAATAAACAATATACAACAAAAAAACATTAAAAACAAGTGTAAAAAAAATCTAATCAAAGTGTCATATAAAATAATAAAAACAAGAACACATTTGCTTAGATTTTTCTAATAACCTTATCAATTGTTTAAAATCCCTTAAGTAGATCAAAGTGGACAACTTCAGACCTTCCAAAAAAGTTAAATCTGGTCCTTTGGACACTCAAAAAAACAAAACAAAACAAAAAAATTCTAGAAACGTTTTGTCTTTCGGTGGAAAAATGAAACGTTTCTAGAATTTTTTTGTTTTGTTTTGTTTTGTTTTTTTTTAATGTCCAGAAGACCAGATTTAACTTTTTTGGATTTTTCTACCTAGATTATTGAGCATGCATCAGGAAACTTCAGATCTTGTTGCAAGGTGATCCAGGTTACAGGAACAGAGTAAGATAAGGCCTTTTTTGCTGAGTTCAGCCCACACCGAGGGAACGATGCAGTTAATGATGGCCTGAGAGTGCTTGTTGTAACTGCACTGACAACGTGACAAATGGGAGGAGATATAAGAAGATAGCAGACCAAAGAGTGATTTATAGATGAAGGTGTACCAGTGTGAGAGCCTAAGTGTAGATAATGATGACCAACTGACCAATGAACACAAATTGCAGTGATGGGTATGGTAGTTACAACCAGTTGTGAATTTTAGTGTGCCATGGTAGACAGCATCCAACATTTGATACTTCCGGTAAGATGGCGCCCGTGTACATGGCTTGCAATCCACCTCTGCTGATGGTGTTCGGATTATTTTTGTTTTTTGCATTTCTCATCTGTGACATCAACTCTCTGCTGGTGTATGACAGACAACAACTTTTGGATCTTCGTTTTTCTGTCACCAATGTCGCTTATTTGGAAAAACATGAGCGTAACTCTGGAATCCCCCCCCCCCCCCCCCCGCTGGCGGACGTGCCGGTTCACCTCTGTTGGGCTCCTCACCTCCCTGCCCGGAGACATCGCTTCAGACGCCGGGGAAAACGTGCTGGTCAGCTGGTGAAGTTTAAAGCTCTGCGTGCTGCATCTTTCTCTTCAGCTTGCGGTCATGGTCTCCATCTCCAGCTTCCTGTGTGCCCGGACCAGGTAACCAACGGGAGTTGTCAGCCGTTGCGCAGCTCGGACCGACCTGGAGGGGCTGTTATTGAAAACCTGTGGCCATTAGCGCGCGCTAACTCCACCGCTGCTGGCTCCACGTTGGACAATATCCGGATGTGCTTGGTCAACGCAAGATCTATTACCAACAAAACTTTTATCCTCAGGGATTACTTTCAAGAGCACGATTTGGACTTTCTGTGCATCACAGAGACTTGGATGTCTCCGGGTGAGTCCAGCGCCTTGACGGAATTACTGCCACCGAACTGTTTGTGTTTTAACGCACCGCGGCCATCAGGCCGGCACGGTGGTGGATTATTAACAATATTCAAATTAACTTTTGACTGTAAACAACTGCCCATCCCAGTTTCCAGCGCCAGCTTTGAGCTGAGCGTCTTTGAGCTGAGCGTCTTTGAACTCGAACATTCACCTCCGACGTTATTGGCACTAGTCTACCGCCCACCTTGCTCTAAGGATTTCATAAATGAGTTTTCTGACTTCTTAGCTGAAATCACACCAAAATATGAGCATTTTTTCATTATTGGGGACTTTAATTTGCACATGTGCTCTCCTGAGGAGCCCTTGGTTAAGGACTTTTTAGATTTATTGGACTCATTTAATTTAACTCAGCATGTAAACGGTCCCACCCAAGAGCGTGGACATACACTGGACCTTGGTTTAACTCATGATGTGACTGTTAATAATCTTGTTATTGGTGATAATGTTTTTTCAGAACACATGCCAGTCCAGTTTGAGTTCACCCTCCCCCATCTAACTCCTAAGCCGTGCATTTTTGCACGTAGGACCTGGGCAATTAACCATTTCTCTGCTGCACGTTTCACAGATGTTTATAACTCTGAAATGATCATTCAGGCCCCAGTGTTTCTCACCACCACTGAGGCGCTGACATCCCAGTTCAACTCTGTCTGCTTAAAGACTCTGGATCATGTTGCGCCTGTTAAAACTAGAAAATCAAAACTGAGAGCAGAACCTTGGCTGAGTGACGTCACCAAGGCTGTTAGGCAGCAATGTAGGAGGGCGGAGCAAAAGTGGAGGAAAGACAGGTTGCAGGTCTCTTTTCAAATACTTAGAGTTGGCGCTGTTATCAGAAAGCAGTGAAAGCTGCTAAATCCAAATACTTCTCTGATATAATTACCTCAAACTCTCACAACCCACGTGTCCTCTTCTCCACCCTAAACTCTGTTCTCCACCTCACTGAACCATCACCTCTGGAAGCCTCGACTGAGCTGTGCGACAACTTCTTACATTTCTTTTTGGAAAAAATTGCGACCACCCGGACTCTCATTTCCCCTCCAACTCATGACCCATCCATCCCACCACAATCTGTAGCTCCTTTTGACCATTTTGAACCCATCACTCTATCTTCTCTAGAGCAGGTCATGTGCAGCTTGAAACCTTCTGGCTCCCCCTTTGATGTGGTCCCCCCTCGACTACTAAAGGATGTTTTTCCAACCCTAGGTCCGTCCATTCTTGATATAGTAAACAGTGGTTTATCCACTGGCGTGGTGCCAAAATCCTTTAAACATGCTGCTGTCCAGCCTCTCCTGAAAAAAAACAAACCTTGACCCCTCAGTCGTTTCCAACTACCACCCTGTCTCCAAACTCCCATTTGTTTCTAAACTACTGGAGAAAATAGTCGAGTCCCAGTTGAAGTGCTTCCTGGAGGATCACGCCATCTTAGAGCTTTTCCAATCTGGCTTTAAACCTCTCCACAGCACTGAAACTGCCCTGCTGAAGGTCTTTAATGACATCTTCAGATCCACTGATAATGGTGATTCTGTGCTGCTTGTCCTGTTGGACCTCATAGCTGCCTTTGACACCATCGACCGTGAGATCCTCATTGCTAGGTTAGAGCAGTGGGTGGGCGTCACAGGATCAGCCCTCAATTGGTTCAGATCTTACCTCGCTGACAGATCCTTTTGTGTCTCCATCAAGGATTTTAGTTCCACAGAGGCAGAGCTTAAATGGGGGGTTCCGCAGGGGTCCATCCTGGGTCCCCTCCTATTCTCTTTATACCTGCTGACGCTTGGTGCTATTTTCCGGAAACACAACATGCCCTTCCACTTCTATGCCGATGACTGTCAAATTTACTTCCCCCAAAACACAATGGTACTTGCTCTATTCAACCGCTGCTCAACTGCTTGGCTGACATCAGGGACTGGATGGCTTTAAATTTCTTAAGTTTCAATGAAAAGAAGTCTGAAGTAATGTTGTTCCCTCCCAACGACACTATCACAAACCACTGTATCGACCTCTCCGCTCTAAACCTGTCAGAAAAACAAAGAGTCACTAATCTGGGCGTGATAATGGACCCTTCCCTGAAGCTTAACAATCATGTAAACATGATTGTTAAATCATGCTTCTTCCAACTGAGGTGGCTGTCTAAACTGAAGCCCATATTGTCCAAAAATAACCTGGAGACAGCAATACATGCATTCATTACATCTAGGCTTGATTACTGCAATTTACTCCTGTTTGGTATCTGTCAGACCTCCATTGCACGACTACAACTGGTCCAGAATGCAGCAGCCCGATTTTTAACCAGTACAGGCAAAAGAGAGCACATTACACTAGTTTTGGCCTCACTGCACTGGTTACCGGTTCACTTTCGAATCCAGTTCAAAATGCTCATGTATGTCTACAAATCACTGAACAGTGTCGCGCGCCCCCCCCCCCTCTCTCTGATCTGCTACAACCGTATGTCCCACCGTGTTCCCTGAGGTCAGCGGACCAGTTGCTCCTCACAGTTCCAGGATCTCGTCTTAAGCGCAGAGGTGACAGGGCCTTCTTTGTAGCAGGACCAAGACTCTGGAACGAGTTACCTCTGCTTGTCAGACAGGCCCCCTCCCTCTCAGTTTTCAAGTCCCGTTTAAAAACTCACTACTATTCAGTAGCTTTCAACACCAGATGATCTGTTTTGATCCTGTATGCTCCACACTGGTTTGTCGTCATTATCTGCATCGTTTTTCTGTCTTTATTCTGATTTACCTCATTTTGTATTTTGCTTTGTGTGTTACCTGTTGTTTTGTCTGTACAGCACTTTGGTTGGCCTTGTTGCTGTTTTAAGTGCTTTATAAATAAAGTGGTATGGTATGGTATGGTATCTGCAAGGAGCTGACAGGGGCATTCATGTAAATAATGTCACCATAATCAATAGGTGGTAGGAAACAAGCTGTTTCCTAGTGTTCAGAGTTAAACAAGATCTGATTCTGAAAAAGAAACCCTATTTAAATTTTGGTTTTGACAGTTTTCAATATGTGGCTTAAAAGAGAGATGTTCATCAATTAAAATTCCTAAGTATTTGTAAGAATATACATACTCAGTATGCATGAGATAGGAGGAAGATCTGCTTGCACCACTTTCTGTTTGAAAACAACAGCCCTTTGGTTTTATCAGCATTTAGCACCAGTTTGAGATAGAATAAGTCTGACTGAATGATGTCAAATGCAGACTGTAGAAGCTGGAAACCCTAGGCAAATGTGTTAGCTCGGCAATAAGCAGTATTGTCGCCATAGAGATGCAAGGATGTGTCAGGAATGTTTTGACCTACATTACTGTATTTATATAGATTGTAAAAAGAGTGGAACCTAAAACTGAGCTCAGTTTTAGGTCAAATATGGCGCCCATGATTGACATACAGGGCAGCCAATCAGAGACCAGATCTTTTCTGATGCATAAGTCATGCATGCACATTCGACCGCGCTAAAAACAAAGGAGTTGACTCTTAATAGCTTCCAGTTTATTTCTTCTAATCTAAACTCAAGAAAGTGTGTAAAATGAGTTGGGGAGCTAGACCAAGTAAGAAGCAAAACACTACCATTTCTATATGGAATGGAGCGAGGACGGTTTTTTTTTTACGTCATATTCGAAGTGTGTTTGCCTCATGTGCAAGTGTACTGGAGTGGCAATTTTGGACTCTATTCATAAATACTACGGTTTTGACTTCCTTCCGAAAAGCGAGCTGAGAAAGAAAACGGTGAAGGAACTAAAATGCCAGTTATCAGCAGTTGTAATGTATCAAGATTCAGCACCAGAAAACACACAAACATTTTCCACACAACAAACAGAACATTCAGTCCAATACAGTATAATGTTATCAAGGCTTGATGTTTATTTTGCAATTATTAATACATCTGCTCTACTGATGATCTGTGAAAGTTGGTGTGTGGGTCACCTTTTTTCAAAGTTCATGCACAATAATCCAGGTATAAAATCCAACAATGTTCAGTCAGGTCATCTGGATGGTTTCTTTTCTTGTTTTTTTATTTTTTGTGCTGTGACGTCTCAGCACAAAAAAGAAACTGTCCAGATGACCTGACTGAACATTGTTGGGTCACCTTTTTTTCTTTTTTCTGAACTGAAAAACACTAAATCCAGCACACATATACATGTTAAGGTTGTCAAAGTCAAGCTATCATAACTGACTTCTCCCTCGCTATATATTTTTTTAATTAAAACTTTTCCTGACCTTGATATATATATATATAAAAAAAGTTATGTTTATCTATACTGTTTGTTAATCTAGTTTGAGAATTTTTTTTTTTTTTTTAATATTAATTTCAATTTTTTGTGATTATTGTTAGGTTCAAATTAGTTTAAGATGCATAATGGCCTTCAATAAGATAAATGTTATGTTGGTTGTTCAATCTTGGATGAAGAATATCTTAATTTTCCTTCTTATTATGTATTATTATTTTCTGTTCCCCCCTGAGGGATCGCCACCTTATTGTGGTCAGGGGGTTTGCGTGCCTCAGTGACTTTAAGAACTATACCAGCAGGAGCTTTGCTTCAGGTGGGACACCCAAGCTGGGCAGGTCTTAGTGTACAGGACTGACAAAGCACGGTCCATTTTTGTGGAGTTAGACACAGTTTATTTAATTTTATTTTCAGTTTATATTTTATTTAATTCACTCAATAAGTTAGTTCATATATTAAGTCGTATTACTGTTTTATATTTTATTGTTGGATGTAACTGGGACCCTGTGTACATAATCTCGTTCCACCACATGTACCACATGAGATGCGAACGACAAATAAATCTCTCTGACTCTGACTGACTGATAATAATAATTAATAGTTCATGTAACAACTGAAAGGAATCATGAATGAAAATGATCAGAAAGAAGGATAAACTTATATCTGCCCCCATTCACATAAAAAGAAAATTAGCTATACAGCTCAGAACACTATTACAGACAGAATTCAAATACACAAAAATTATGCACAAAAAATAAACATAAAATACACAACAAAACATCAACTTATTCAGCACCATATTGTTTCATCATAATGATTTTTAAATTTATTTTAAATGCAAAAAAAGATTTAGATTGTTTTATCTCACTGTCAAGATTGTTCCATAAACTGACACCTTTAATTAAAATGTATTTTTCTATCGTTGCCGTTCTGAAACTTTTTTTATTTTTTTTTATTTCTGCTTTTCACTATTACCCCAATCCCATGCAGAAAGCTCAAGTCAACAATAACAATGAATATGGTGGAGCATAACGTGTATGGATGAAGATGCTCCATTCACATTTCTGCCTAACGCCCCCCCCCCCACTCCCCCCAACCACTCAGCCACCCATGCTCGTAGCCTCCTTCCAAATATACAGGTTTGTTGAACTGGTGCTGATATGTATTTTTTTTTACTTGTTTTTAGACTTAGTAAACTACATCTATTCTGGAAAAAGATTTAACAATTGACTGCTTTAATTTATATTGTTCAGATTGCCCAAGAAAGGGAGGAGGTGTGACAATCTATGTTAGATCTAGTCTTTCAACACAACTGCTAAATCAGCTCCTAAACAATTTGAAATCTTACCACTAAATATTGATCCGTCTGATTGTTAGTCTTTATTTGTTGGTGTATGCAGTATCAGATGTGACCCATTCTGTCACATATGAAACCTTATTATCCTTAATACTTCTTTTATCTAATTTACACTTTAAGGAAATTGTTCTGGTAGGAGATTTTATTTTAGATTGTCTCTCATCAGTTTCTCATGAATTTCATGAATTTATCCTCATGCATGCTCATTAATCCAGGTAGAAAATCGAAAAGAGTTAAGTCAGGTCCTCTGGACAAATTAAAAAAATTAAAAGTTAAAGCATATTGTTTATCATTCAACCTTAGTCAGATTATTGATAGTCACCAGGGCCGGTTCTAGGCATGGTTAGAGTAGTCGTCCTCCAATGCGAGAGTTGGGGGTTTAAATCCACCAGCAGTCACATGCTGAAGTGTCCCTGGGCAAGACACTGAACCCCTCGTTGCCTCCAATGTGTGTCCCATTGGTGTATGAATGTGATCTAAATCTCTGATTAGTCTCTTTAGAATGATTTGTTCAATTAGCTTTGTAGAGTTCTAGTAGAGTGCTGTATGAATGGATAAATGAGGACACAGATTGTAGTGTAAAGCGCTTTGAGTGTGTTCATAAGACAGAAAAGCGCTATATAAGTACAGTCCAT